TGTGTGTGTGCTGCAGTAAGCTCTAGACATTTACATATTTATATTGTGTGTGTGTGTGTGTGTGTTGCAGCGAGCTCTAGTTTCCCTTTCTTGAAGAAGCGTATAGAGGTGGTGGAGCAACAGAGTACCGAGATGAACCCTATTGAGGTGGCGATAGACGAGATGAGCCGAAAAGTGTCTGAACTCAAACAGCTGTGCAATATGGAGGAGGTGGACATGATCCGTCTGCAGCTCAAACTACAGGGCAGCGTCAGCGTCAAGGTAAATGCAGGATATATATGAGCAATATATGAGGGCCTTAGAGTCTCACCAGTGCTGATATACAGCCATATCGCACTGCAACTCGTGCAATATTGCATATATACAACAGTTCGATGGCACAATTGTGTAAATTAAAAATGAAAATCAAACACGGAGAGTCTCCTTTTGTAAGAGGAACTACTTTCTTCGGCCATTCATTTGAATGAATAGTGTTTGAATGACTCTCTAGCGTAATGTCTGAAGTGAAGACAAAACAGCTGATTTTGCTCGCATTGTAAGATTATAAGGCTGAACAGCATGAAATGCCATCAGTCTGCAGAGATTTCCCAGTATTTCCCTGTTGCAATCAGGAGATCACAATAATTAACCCTGAAAAAGCCGAAGCAAAGTAAACACTACTAGATTACTGTGGTGTAAATACAGCACTACATCATACAAAAGACAGAGATTGACTTAAGATTGTCACTTACCTGATTTATAATGATTTTTTCAGCTGTAGTTTGAAACAGAGTTTATCATGCGGCCTCTATTGCTATCTTCAATAATAATAATAATATGAATAATTACACAAATAAATAGCTAATTACCTATATTTAATAAGATTGCAAAATTCCAACGTATTCCATGATTTATTTTAATTTGTTTTATTTTTTCAGGTAAATGCAGGACCCATGGCCTACGCCCGAGCCTTCCTAGAGGAGAAAAATGCTAAGAAATACCCAGACAACCAGGTCAAACTGCTGAAAGAGATCTTCAGGTACTGCTTCACTCACTGATCCTATCATTAATACATCCATTTTGTTTTTAACAGAAGTATTATTGACAGCTGTAATTTGTTCATGTTCTTGTCCTGCAGACAGTTTGCAGAAGCGTGTGGACAGGCTCTGAGTGTGAACGAGCGGCTAATAAAAGAGGATCAGTTTGAGTATCAGAGCGAGATGAAAGCTCACTATAAAGACATGCTCACGGAGCTCTCCGCCATTATGAATGAGCAGGTCAGCACACACACACACACACATGAAAGTCTTCATTAAAGTATCTCGAGTGTTTAGTAAATTTTCAGCTCAAAATACCACACATAACCTTTTCTAACTCTCTGAAATGGACCCTTTTAGCCTTTGAACCTAATTGTGGAGTATTAGTGACTGTCGCTTTAAATGCAAATGAGATTGTGCTCTTAAGAAATAGGCGGAGCTGCAAACACCTGTGTCTCAGCATAGTGGCAAATTTAAAAACAAGACTAACGTCCTATGCTAATGAGGGAGAGTGGGCGGGGCTTTCCCCCTCTGATGACACGTACAAAGGAAGAATGTCAAAGTGTTTCTTATCAAGTGGCATTATAAAAAAACAGAATTAATACATTTTTATCATTAGAAGCTGCTTATATTCACAGACAGGTATGGAAGTTTTTCCTAACAAAATGAAAATGAAAATTCAAATGCTTAAAATATCAAATGATGAACCAAATGCTCAAACTATAAATCAAATGCTCAAACGACTCCGCATATGGTGAATCAAATCCTCAAACCGACTCTGCAAATGGTGAATCAAATCCTCAAACCGACTCTGCAAATGGTGAATCAAATCCTCAAACGACTCCGCATATGGTGAATCAAATCTTCAAACGACTCCACATATGGTGAATCAAATCCTCAAACCGACTCTGCAAATGGTGAATCAAATCCTCAAACCGACTCTGCAAATGGTGAATCAAATCCTCAAACCGACTCTGCAAATGGTGAATCAAATCCTCAAACCGACTCTGCAAATGGTGAATCAAATCCTCAAACCGACTCCTCAAATGGCGAATCAAATCCTCAAACCGACTCTGCAAATGGCGAATCAAATCCTCAAACCGACTCTGCATATGGTGAATCAAATCCTTAAACCGACTCTGCAAATGGTGAATCAAATCTTCAAACGACTCCACATATGGTGAATCAAATCCTCAAATCGACTCTGCAAATGGTGAATCAAATCCTCAAACCAACTCTGCAAATAGTGAATCAAATCCTCAAACCAACTCCGCATATGGTGAATCAAATCCTCAAACCAACTCTTCAAATGGTGAATCAAATCTTCAAACCAACTCCACATATGGTGAATCAAATCCTCAAACCAACTCTGCAAATAGTGAATCAAATCCTCAAACAACTCCGCAAATGGTGAATCAAATCCTCAAACCAACTCTTCAAATGGTGAATCAAACCTTCAAACCGACTCCGCAAATGGTGAATCAAATCCTCAAACCGACATTTGATTCATCATTTGATCTTTTAAGCATTTGAATTTTCATTTGAATTTTGTTAGGAAAAACCTCAGAAGACTATATGAAACTATTTGCAGCACATCCTAGTTCATCTACAGAAAGCATCCCAAACAATACAACTCAAAGAACACAAAATCATACCTGAAACTTTTACGTACAATAACATTCCCTGCACACTTAAGATACTAGGTATCTGTGGTATATGGATGCTCTGGAAAGGCACGGTCTCAAAATAAAAATTGTTTATTAGTAAGTCATTATTAATAAACATTAATAAGCATAAATAAGTCATGTTTATTTACATACTGTACATAATATAGTGACTTTTTGACGACTACGAGTGTGGAGCAGTGATATACAGAACTGTTAAATGAAGCGTTCACAGTTGTGCCTTATGAATAAAACACAGCTGCTGACCAATCAGCATCAAGAACCCAAAGTATCTGCTTAATAAAGTAGTAATTACTCTGTGTTTGTTTTGTTTCTGCCTTTTAAAGATACCGTACACGAGACAACCAGGAACAGAGCGACACAGTGCCATCTGAGCTGCTACTGAGCTTGGGGAAACTGCTCACGGATATGTTATTATTCTGCGTAGGAGGAGGAGAAGGAAGAGTATTAATATTTCTGATTTTAATGACACAAAAGGAAAGTGTTGTAGTTTTGTGGATGAAACAGAAAGACGGTGTAGTACTTGCGCACACACACAATAAGCTTGCTAATATCATCTCAAGAAGTACAGGTACACAGCATCCGATATGCCTTTTTTATAGACCTTTTAATAACAAATAAATAAACAAAACAGTGACCTTAATTAACTTAAGCTGTGTTCAACTAAGCAAATCCACATATTTTACAGGGCTCTCCTCGTGTTTTTACTGATATATGAATGCTGTTGGGATTAAGCTTGTTTCATTCTGTCCTCTCATATAATTGTGTTGAACACATCTCTAGTCTCGGAGTGAATGTAAAACCCGTCCTAACTTTCTTAAACTCCCAGCTCATTCATTACAAACATAAATGTTAATTTTATACATTTTTTTAGGATTGTTTTCCTTTTGCTTCATGTACTGTTGTAAATTGTAAATAAGATTCAAATTTTAAATGTTCCTTTTTATATATTAAAAGATGCTATATAACTGTTTGTGTGTGTTTATTTTAAGTGGGACTTTGAATGCAAACTTTGATGCCCAAAACTGAAACCAAGGAGAGAAACTACGCGTACCGGCCACTTTATTAGGCACACCTGTCCAACTGCTCGTCAATGCAACTCGCTGCATTCAGGCGTGTAGACATGGTCAAGACGATCTGCTGCAGTTCAAATCAGGCATCAGAATGGGGAAGAAAGGGGATTTAAGTGACTGTGAAAATTGCATGGTTGTTGATACCTGACTGTCTGGTGTTTTTCAGAAGCTGCTGATCTACTGGGATTTTCATGCACAACCATCTCTAGGGTTTACAGAGAATGGTCTGATAAAGTGGTAATATCCAGTGAGCGGCAGTTCTGTGGGCGCAAATGCCTTGTTGATGCCAGAGGTCAGAGGAGAATGGCCAGACTGGTTCCAGCTGATAGAAAGGCAACAGTAACTCAAATAAGCACTCGTTACAACCGAGCTCTGCAGAAGAGCATCTCTGAACACACAACACGTCCAACCTTGAGGCGGATGGGCTACAGCAGCAGAAGAGCACACCGGGTGCCGCTCCTGTCAGCTAAGAACAGGAAACTGAGGCTACAAATCACACAGACTCACCAAAACTGGACAATAGAAGATTGGAGAAATGTTGCTGCTCTGATGAGTCTCCATTTCTGCTGACACATTCAGATGGTCGGGTCAGAATTTGGCATCAACAACATGAAAGCATGGATCATCCTGCCTTGTATCATGTAATGTAGGTGTAATGGTGTGGAGGAGATTTTCTTGGCACACTTTGGGTTCATTAGTACCAATTGAGCATCGTGTCAACACCACAGCCTACCTGAGTATTGCTGCTGACCATGTCCATCCCTTTATGAGCACAGTGTCTTCATCTTCTGATGGCTACTTCTAGCAGGATAACGCAGCATGTCATAAAGCTCAATCATGTCAGACTGGTTTCTTGAACATGACAATGAGTTCACTGTACTCAAATGGCCTTTTCAGTCACCAGAGCTCAATCCAATAGAGCACCTTTAGGATGTGGAGGGATGGAAGATCGGTATCATGGATGTGCAGCCGACAAATCTGCAGCAACTGTGTGATGCTATCATGTTAATATGGAGCAAAATCTCTGAGGAATATTTCCAGTGCCTTGTTGAATCTCTGCCAAAGGATTAAAGAAGTTCTGAAGGCAAAAGGGGGTCAAACATGGTACTAGTAAGGTGTACCTAATAAAGTGGCCGGTCAAGTGCTATTAGTTCACACTCAATAACTTTACATAGAGCACACTGACTGCACATTGTAAAAAAAATTCATTCAGAAAAACAACTTTGTAGAACGCAGAACAATGTTATTTATTTTAGTGTTAAACCAAAGAACAACGAATTTCACCTTCAGTCTAAGCAGAATCACAGTTTATAGAGGTTTATATAGAGGTTGATGCTTATTTATTTAAATACTACAAATAGTGAATGTAAAGGGAGTCTTAACTGTGACAAGATAAAGTTTCTCTGGCATCAGATTAGACAATTAAAACTTTTAAATTATTTTCTACTTTCTTCGTAGATTAACAAACCCTGCTGAAAATGGGAATTCGGCACCTCAGATTTAAAAGAAAGCAAAATAATAATATTAATAATAAAGATGCACTCTTGCAGAATATCATATTTTGACTTCTGTTATTAATCAAAATAAATATGTATTCCATTTTCACAGAAAATAAAATGTGGATTTTATTACTATTTTAGAGTCTATTATTAACAATGTATTGAAATACTGATGCAGTAGCTGCTAATAGTTTGGCCACATTCAAACTCCAACAGTCGAGCAGCCCATATAAAATAAATCAGCAGTAGTTTAATGTGTTAAAGAAAGCAGGTGAAAATAAATGAAGTGTTTATTCGAGTTTCTCATCCCCTTCCTCCACATCTTTGAGACTGAGCACCTCAAGAGTTCCCTTTCCTTTGGTCTCACAGCGGATGAGCTCATCAATATCCCGAAAACAGCCTGGATCTATCAAACACACCTGAAAGAGCAAAAACAACTCCTGTAACACATGGAGAATACGGATAAAATGTCAAAACCTGTCTATCTACTTCTTGTCTGATGGTTATTTCCCTTTTAAATTAATAGATCATCTATTTACTCACACTGAAACCTGTAACCATTCAGTGCCATAGTAGGCAAAACAAATACAGTACTGTGGAAGTCAAAGGGTACAGGTTTCCAGCATTGTTTTAAAATTACAGGGAGGTAAAAGGTGACAATTTAATTCCTGCGTGAACTATCCCTTTAACGCATGTCTTGAAAAACAGATCAACAAAAATCTTTACACAAATGTACATTATTGACTTAAAATCGCTGACTTCTGGGGGCTGTCGAATGCACGTTCAGTCACACACGGAAAGAAAAAACAAAAAAGTTTAAAAGCAGACGGCGCTTTAGGCTAGTGTTTAACAGCAGACGGCGCTCTAGGCTAGTGTTTAACAGCAGACAGTGCTCTAGGCTAGCGTTTAACAGCAGACGGTGCTCTAGGCAAGTGTTTAACAGTGGACGGCGCTCTAGGCAAGTGTTTAACAGCAGACGGCGCTCTAGGCAAGTGTTTAACAGCAGGCGCCGCTCTAGGCTAGTTTTTAACAGCAGACGGCTCTCTAGGCTAATGTTTAACAGCAGACGGCGTTCTAGGCTAATGTTTACCAGCAGATGGCGCTCTAGGCAAGTGTTTAACAGCAGGCGGCGCTCTAGGCTAGTTTTTAACAGCAGACGGCGCTCTAGGCTAATGTTTAACAGCAGACGGCATTCTAGGCTAATGTTTAACAGCAGATGGCGCTCTAGGCTAGTGTTTAACAGCAGACGGCGTTCTAGGCTAATGTTTACCAGCAGATGGCGCTCTAGGCAAGTGTTTAACAGCAGGCGGCGCTCTAGGCTAGTTTTTAACAGCAGACGGCGCTCTAGGCTAGTGTTTAACAGCAGACGGCATTCTAGGCTAATGTTTAACAGCAGATGGCGCTCTAGGCTAGTGTTTAACAGCAGACGGCGCTCTAGGCTACTGTTTAACAGCAGACGGCGCTCTAGGCTAGTGTTTAACAGCAGGCGGTGCTCTATGCTAGTGTTTAACAGCAGGCAGCGCTCTAGGCTAGTGTTTAACAGCAGACGGCGCTCTAGGCTAGTGTTTAACAGCAGGTGGCGCTCTAGGCTAGTGTTTAACAGGAGACTGCGCTCTAGGCTAGTGTTTAACAGGAGACTGCGCTCTAGGCTAGTGTTTAACAGCAGACGGCGCTCTAGGCTAGTGTTTAACAGCAGACGGCGCTCTAGGCTAGTGTTTAACAGGAGACTGCGCTCTAGGCTAGTGTTTAACAGCAGGCGGCGCTCTAGGCTAGTGTTTAACAGCAGGCGGCGCTCTAGGCTAGTGTTTAACAGCAGGCGGCGCTCTAGGCTAGTGTTTAACAGCAGGCGGTGCTCTAGGCTAGTGTTTAACAGCAGGCAGCGCTCTAGGCTAGTGTTTAACAGCAGGTGGCGCTCTAGGCTAGTGTTTAACAGCAGACGGCGCTCTAGGCTAGTGTTTAACAGCAGGTGGCGCTCTAGGCTAGTGTTTAACAGGAGACTGCGCTCTAGGCTAGTGTTTAACAGCAGGTGGCGCTCTAGGCTAGTGTTTAACAGGAGACTGCGCTCTAGGCTAGTGTTTAACAGGAGACTGCGCTCTAGGCTAGTGTTTAACAGCAGGCGGTGCTCTAGGCTAGTGTTTAACAGCAGGCAGCGCTCTAGGCTAGTGTTTAACAGCAGACGGCGCTCTAGGCTAGTGTTTAACAGGAGACTGCGCTCTAGGCTAGTGTTTAACAGCAGGCGGCGCTCTAGGCTAGTGTTTAACAGGAGACTGCGCTCTAGGCTAGTGTTTAACAGCAGGCGGCGCTCTAGGCTAGAGTTTAACAGCAGACGGCGCTCTAGGCTAAAAAAAACTGCCGACTCACCATTTCCAGCTGGTCGTCAAAGTCCTCATTTTCCACTGCCTTTATTAATGGTTTGAGCTTCTCCTTCAGCCTCTTCCCATCCTTGGCTGGCAGGACGAAGCGCAGGCGCATGTGAGCTCTCTGGATCTGAATGGATTCCTTCAGCTGCTTGATGACCTCAAGAGCCTGCAGGGGGAGACGCTGGTTTAATTATTATCATCAACACCTCTATTTAGAGTCAGTTCTTCAGTAATCATGATGTGGTATGTAGATCAACAAAATCATGTGATGATGAAATGTGTGTGATGGGATGTATTGATGGACTTTGCAGCGTTTCCAGCACAGTGTAAAACATCTGAAATGTTGCTCCGGTCTGTCTAAAAGCCCTCAGCTGTCAGTCCGTCATCACAGTGCTTCAGTAGTATTATTATTCTCACCAGAACCGTCTTGAGCATCTGTCTGTGCTCCCAAAGAGCGTGTCACGCCTCCAAAAGCCACAACATTAATTGCGTTTTGGCTTCTGAGGCGCAACTCATTTATTAGAGCAGAAAAAAACACCACCGTAGCAAATCCCAACACACTAAACTACATTTCTCTGACTGATATCTGCTCCAGTTTATCAGCAAGTGATGATTTTGTTCTATTTAAACGCTGGTTTATTCACTAAAGTTTTATGCAATATTCCAGTTTTGTGCATGAATCTAATTCACATCTTTGAATGGAAGCATAGCTACAGATCCTCCAATGATCAATATCTACTGACCTGCTGTTTAGTGCTTTTGTTTGCTTTAACAGAGAAGTGGATGTCCTTCATGGCTCTCTCTATAAGGTTCACTGTGTAAGGCCGCTTGGTCTCAGGATTCACACATTTTTCAGCCACAATAGTTGCAATATCACGAAACATCTGCTCCAGTTGACTCTGTCGTTCCTTGTCTGATACCTGCAGTTCTCCTTTGGACAAAATCTGGAAGCACAGACAAAAATAACATCGATTTATGAAACCGTTAAAGATTTGTAAACAACATTTTCCTGCTAAATAGATTGCTATGTTAGGGAAACAAGTATATGCAGAAGGTTGTTATCGCAGAATAAAGTCTGCCAGGTTTATCAGCAGCCCGTTATAAAGACTGTTTCTGTGAAAACAACTATCCTGGATGTACTTGATCTTACTTATTACACGGCTACTTGCACCAAAACATAAAAATTAGACACAAAACATAGCTATGAGCCGTAATAGTTTATTAATTCTATAATCAAACACAAAGCTGACAGAAATTACAGAAACAGCTGATGGAGTATACACTAACCTGCAGATTATTCAGACACTAGATGGCCCCAAACAGTCAAAAACACAAAGCTGACAGAGACAAAACCTTCTTAACGGAGCATATACTAACCTACTTATACTATTCAGTCAGAAGACGGAGCATAACAGTCAAAAACCACCCATTAATAAAACTGTTAAAGATTTGTAAACAATATTTGCCTACTAAATAGATTGCAATGTTAGTGATCAAGTACTTGCAGAAGGTTGTTATCGCAGAATTAAGCCTGACAGGTTTATCAGCAGCCCGATGTGAAGACTGAAGGGCTTTATTCTGCAAAAACAACTATCCTGGATGTACTTCATCCTACTTATTACATGGCTGCTTGCATTAAAACATAAAACTTTGACACAAAACATAGCTAGGAGCCGTAATAGTTTATTAATTCTTTAATTAAACACTAGGACGTTAGAAATGTATACAACAACCTGTGCATTCAGACACTAGATGACGGCAAACAGTTAAAAATGCAAAGCTCACAGACACTAAACCTGCTGAATAGAGTATACACTAACCCAGGTATATTATTTAGTCACAAGACAAAAAATGCAGCATGACAGACAAGCATTTACATGTGAATGTAAGTATATGGATATAAACATATTAAGTCACTGTGATTCTCAGCTCCCAGAGAAGCATGTGTTATTCAGCGGTTGTTGTCTGGGAATAACATACCTTGGAATTTTGCAATCAAAATCCAGCATTGCAGACAGCCGTGAAATAAACTAGTTATAACTTGCTATTAATAAATTACTAATATACATCATTGCTTTTCTTTAGCATTGTTAAAATGGGCATTGTCTGCTGGGTTGTGATTAATAGTTCAAATGGTAAAAAATGTTTTTATTGTAAAATAGTAATTACAGTATTGTTCTTATGAATCCCATAGCTTTGACCATTCAGATCACCTGTTTGCATATTTCAGTCAGGTCATCTGTTCCAAAAGCATTGGATAGGTCTTCTTTCTTCGCCACTTGACCCTTGGACACATTCACAAAGACTGTGTTGGTTTGCAGGACTTCATCAAGATCTTTCTCCCTAATACAAAAAAAACAAAAAAACAATACAGTTAACATCAAACCTAAACCAATCATGTCACTAGTGCTTCATTACATTACATTCATGAGATTGTTTTTGTTTTATTATTTAGTTATAATATATATATATATATATATATATATATATATATATATATATATATATATATATATATATATATATATATATATATATATTATAAAACTGTATTAGTTTAGATAAAGGAATGTGTTTGTTATTTATAAATAATAATAAATAAATTAGAAAATTACCCATGACAACGTCATTTACCTTAAGCTCACTAGCTTCAATCAAGTTTGGTTTTTAGCCCGTCATACAGTAAAAAAAGGTTTGGGTATCCCTGGTTTATGGACAATTTGTGACATGCTCCCTATATTGTTTAACATGGTACTTTGAATAGTACGCCTGAAATCACATGCAAATATGACTTAAAAACAACATTAGCATTATTTTATTGACTGTAAACAATGCTGCACTTTGATAGTCTTTGACTTCTAGTATGATTTCACAATTTAGAATTTGTAAATAATACTTATCTGAAATTATATAATTAAGGAGAAATTGTGAATATAGTGTGAATATAAAACCAACTTTACCTCATGACACAACATAACAGTTGAGGTTTTACATTCACAAATTATTTTAGTGACAACTTCTGACATGCTCCCTATATTGTTTATCATGCTATACTTTGATTTCAGGGTATGAAATCACATGTAAGTATGACATTAAACAATATTAGCTCTTCAAACAACATTAGCACTGTTTCACTGACTGTAGACAATGATTGAGGTAAAGTTGGTTTTATATTCTGACTTTCTCCTTAATAATATAATTTCAGATGAGTATTATTTGTATTCTAAACAGTGAAGTCATATTAGCAGACAATGACTATCAAATTACAGCATTGCCTACAGTCAGTTAAATACTGCTAACGTTGTTTTGAAGTCATACTTACATGTGATTTCAGACCAAATATCCAAAGTACCATGGTAAACCATATAGGGAGCATTTCACAAGTTGTAACTAAACGAATGTGTGGATATAAAATCAACTTTACCTCAATTAAACAATGTTGTATTTGATAGTCATTGGCTGCTAATACGATTTCCCTATTTAGAATTGGCAAAGAATACTTTTCTGAAATGATATTATTAAAGAGAAAGTCGGAATGTGCGGATATAACCAACTTTACCTTAAACCTAACATTTAGCATAACATACCAACATAACATAACATAACAACGTTATGACAGGAGCATTTGATGACACTTACGCTCCAGATCTCCAGCTCATCACTTTGTTCTTATAGCAGGCGATTTCAAATCTTTTCCCCCCTTTCTTCATCCTCACGACGGCAACATTTGTTAACCTGATCTGGTTAGTTGGCGTGAATATTGACATGTTTAACTCTCTTTATGAACGCGGGTCTCCACACTGCTGTCTTCCTGCTTCTTCCTCGTTTAAAACTGCGTCAGTATCTGTGACGCATCGGTGCAGCGACATCTACAGGGTTGGAAACATTTGCAGTGTGGCTGTGTCTCAATTCCCTTGCTTATGCTACCTGTTAAAAGTAAGTACTTTTTATGTACATACTTTTGAGTGTGTAACAGATGAGTAAGTATTGGACTATACTACTCCCCCATTAATGGACCTTCATGTTGATTAGTTACGTCCCTTGTCAATCAACTCGACACATCATCCACATGCCAGATAATATGCATTCAGAAGTTAATAACGAAAAACGTCTTTATAGAAGTTCACATTGTTGTTGCAGATTAGATAAGAACTGAAAAAAATACTTAAAAATGTTCCAGTTGGCTAGATATTAATTTAATAGTCATTCAAATAACTTTACCAAAAAAGCCTCTCTATTTGGTTGGGCTCTTGCGTCCGCCATGTTTGTAGTTTGTTTACAAGTGTTGAGTTTGAGTGTGCAATATTAGCGCTTAGCATGTATAGACGCTTCTACGCTTAAAATGTCTAATGCAAATAGTACATCATCCAGGAACTTTGGTGTTTTCTTTTTAACATGCTATCCCTGCTGAAAAATCCAGATTAAACCAGCCTAAGTTGGTTGACTGGTTTTAGCTGGTCGACCATGCTGGTTTTAGAGGCCACTTTCAGGCTGGTTTCCAGCCATTTCCAGCCTGGTCTTAGCTAGTCAGGCTGGTCAAGCTGGTTTTAGCTGGATTTAGCTGGTCATTTTCCAGCCAGACCAGCTAAAACCAGGCTGGAAACCAGCCTGGAAATCGCCAAAACCCCTCTAAAACCAGGCTGGTCAACCAGCTAAAACCAGCCTAGGCTTGTTTAAGCTGGATTTTTCAGCAGGGATGGTTTGGGACACACTTATTCCATGTTTGAATACTATTTAGGACGGATGGTATGCGAATTGGGACGCAGTTAATTTGATTAATCAGATTCATAAACGGACTAAGCCAAAAAGAAAATGAATGAATGAGTAATACTCAGTGTAATTACTGTTGGCGAAGCAGTGGCACAGTGGGTAGCACTCTCGCCTCAAAGCAAGAAGGTTGCTGGTTCGAGCCTCAGCCGTGTCAGTTGGCATTTCTTTGTGGAGTTTGCATGTTCTCCTAGTGTTCGCGTGGGTTTCCTCCGAGTGTGGTGATTCCACTGTGGTGACCCCAGATTGTGAATGAAAATGAATGAATGAATAACTACTGTGATGGTTGGGTTTAGGGTAGATGTTGAAAAAATACAATTAATGGGTAATTTAATAAATCCTTCTCATTAACTTACAGCCCCAGCTGTATCCCTTTGAGCAATAACCCTTTGGTGTGGAAACGAATATCAAACTGTACACAAAATCCTATTTCCTTCCAATAAATTAGTTTCTCTCAGAAACTGAAGCAATAAATCTTTCAATTCCTCTCTCAATAAATCAACCATATTTTCATCTCTTGTATTTCGTTATAAACGTACGTCTTTCTGTTTTGATCTTTTTTTACAATCGTGGCATGTTTTTATTGTGTCCTCAAAAATTACATTTTCCAGTGTCATGTCTGAACCTGAGCCTTAATTTGACTATTTCTTTCTTCCTATTCCTTCCAGTGCATCTCATGTCTCACATTTCTCTTCGAACTTGATCAAACCATGGACCTACACTAGTGTCTCGGGCTTTGGAGACGGTAAGTTTTTAACCCCAGACGAGTAGTGGATTCTAAGACAACAGGAGGGTTGTCACTTTGCACAAAAAAAAATCTGCTTAATGAATAAATGTAATGGTAATAAAGTTGGTGGTTTTGCTTTAATGTGGAGGTGGTTCTTTTTGTACCTCTAAAGTATGAATAGATGCCATTGAGGCTTATGTTTCCAGTAAAACTAGTTCTCATGTTTCCTCTTGTATGAGGGTGGGAAAGGAAAAGGTACAAAGATATGAGTGAAACTGAGAAGAAACTGCACCATTAAAAGTAAAGCCATTAATTATTTTAGACTGCTCCAGTCTTTGGATTTGAACCTTTCAATCTTTTTTTTTTCACTATCATCAACAGCAAAGCCCAAAAACAGACTGATCTGGGGTCAGATCAGTCTCAATAATAATACATTTGCAGAAATATAACTCAGACATGCACAGAAACTATACAAAATCCAATTCGTGAATTCACAAGCAAAAATTATAAATATTGCACCAGATGAATTGGATTATATTTATGAATTGTTTTGAATTTATGTATTAGATTAGCATATTTATGAATTGTGCTTTGATTTTACGAATTGGATTTGCATGTTTAGGGATTGTGTTTTGAATTTCTTAATTGAATTTGCACATTTATGATTTGTGTTTTGAATTTTCGAATTGGATTTGCATATTCATGATTTTTTTATTTACAAATTGGATTTGCATATGATTTGTGTTTTGAATTTTCTAATTGGATTTGCATATTTTTGAATTGTGTTTTGAATTTTCGAATTGGATTTGCATATTCATGATTTTTTTTTATTTACAAATTGGATTTGCATATTTATGAATTGTGTTTTGAATTTTCTAATTGGATTTGCATATTTTTGAATTGTGTTTTGAATTTTCAAATTGGATTTGCATATTTATGAATTGTGTTTTAAATTTTCTAATTGGATTTGCATATTTATGAATTGTGTTTTGAAGTTTCGAATTAGATTTGCATATTTATAAATAGTTTTGAATGTATTAATTAGATTTGCTTATTTATGAATTGTTTTGAATTTATGAATTGGATTTGCATATTTATGAATTGTGCTTTGATTTTACTAATTTGATTTGCATATTTATGAATTGGGTTTTGAATTCACAACTTGAATTTGCATATTTATGAATTGGGTTTTGAATTACCAGTTAGATAAGCATATTTATGATTTGTGTTTTAAATTTTTGTGTTTTTTTATTTATGAATTGAATTTGCTGATTTAGGAATTGTGTTTTGAATTTACGAATTGCATTTGCATATTTATAAATCATGTTTTGAACTTATGACTGAAATCTGCATATTTATGAACCGGTTTTAAATTTACGAATTGGATTTTTATATTTATGATTTTTTAAATTTATGTATTAAATTTGCATTGCATATTGCATTTGCATATTTATGAATTGTGTTTTGAACTGTTTGTGCCAATGACTGTATAAAAGTCTGTGTTTGTGCACACACAATCTACTTTCTGGAACATTCTTAGGGATACTCAAGGACTAGCCTTTGTTGTTCTAAACCTTGTTTATTCATTCACTCATTCATTTTCCTTTGGCTTAGCCCCTTATTCATCAGGGATCACCCCAGCGGAGTGAACCGCCAACTATTCCAACATATGTTTTACCCAACAGATGCCATTCCAGCCACAACCCACTGGGAAACACCCATACACACTCTCGCATTCACACACAAACTTATAAACTGCGGCACTGTGGGGGACACCAGAGCACCTGGAGGAAATCCACAACAACACGTGGAGAACATGCAAACTCCAGTGACCTTCTTGCTGTGAGGCAACAGTGCTAGCCACCAAGCCACTGTGTATCATAATTAAGCTAACTTATTACTTTACAACAGTCTGCATTCGTTGTTTCGCAAATAGTTTCATATTTTATTTTTTACAATTCAGTCGGACAATCGACATCAAGCTGAGGTCTTGGCAGACAGGTTTAGACAGAGAGTTTTTTAAAAAGCACAGTGGATTCAATCTGCCGTCACACGCTTTAGGAATTCTGCCCAACCAGCTTGCCTGATTAAGATATCTCAGTGTAAAGAACAAGGTGTTAAAATACTGTTTATCCTTAGTTCACCTTTGGCAAAAACAACCATGGCACGGGTACTGATTTGAACCACCTCATATGGCCTAGAAGACATCACCTGATGTACGTAATATGCTGTTAGGGCGGATCTCCGGGTCCTGTGTAATATTCATTGGTGTGATATTAAGTGTGCATGCAGTCAACCATGTAATATCTCATATAAAACACAGACCTTTAATCATCACACAAAAATCTTTCATCATTTATATGTTGCTTTTTTTTGCGTTTGTGTACTGGCTACTTCAGCCAAAAAACAACTAGACTAATAATCAATAGTAGTTATTTAAGTACAGTTCACACTTAGCTGATGATCTTTCAAAAGCATGTTTGGCATGCTGTCCCGGGAGAGAGCCCTGAGCTCAAGGGATCCTCGAGCCCGGGGCTTCCTCCCGTTGGCAGAGCGAGAGAGGAGCTTGAGCTCGGTGGATCTCAGAACTCCCCGGCTGCGGTAGCCAAGGGTGATGATAATAGTTGTAATATTGATAAATGTTAAGCATTGGACCAATCGGCAACAGCGGGCTGGTTTCAAGGTGGGCCGACCCAATTAGAGGTTACGCGGACGAAATCAAAATCTGGCAAGAATGTCAAACAAACAGTAAGTGAAACACAAGCTAATTGACAAAGATGTAAAAAAGGAAAGGCGGTGCCGAAAGGCTTAGAGAAAGCAAATTGCTCTAAAATCTGACGCAGCCAAATGCATAAAATGAACTGAAATGGAGTCTGCCCCTGATTAATAGCGCTTCACTTTTTCCACATGTTTTTATGTTACAGCCTTATTCCGAAATGGATTAAATTTGTTTATTTCCTCAAAATTCTACACACAATCCCCTGTGTAAATATCTTGTTGATATTCGGAAATCTTGCTGTGTTTATCATCTAAACGCAGGATTTTTCCCGCATGGCAAATAGATAGGTGTGCGTATTTTGGGTTCTGTTGATTGCTAATTAACAATAAAACCTTGCTAAATTGTACGTGTTGTTTACATGTTATTGTTCATATTTTACAAGTGTTAGTTCTGCCCCTTTGAAGATAACAAATGCCAACAACCCTGTTATAAGAGGAATATTTAATTGTGCTCATCATAGCTTAGTCTAACTCAGGCTAGAGTGTATGAAAGATTATTTATTTCTGCAGTCCAACATGTATTGCTTTTATTAAAAACAGCTAACATTACAGTTTTTAAATCGTGTA